TTCCTGCAATTACATCCCCTCAGGCACACTGAGGCTTTGACATCCCAGCCTGTCTTCCTGAAATGGGCGCTGCCCAGCCTGATGTCTGCTCTAGGAAGTTTCCCCATATGCTGTCCGGTCGGCTTGAATGCACTTCTACCCCAGAGAGTTCCTCTCTGGGTAGACAAAGCCAGTTCGCTGTGAAACTTGACTAATCTCACACGTCCTCTTCCATCCTCATTCATCCATCAGCTGTGGTTTGGGGAACTCTCCCTGCCCTTGGTAAGAAAGGCTTGCTCTTTTTCGTGGTCTTGCTGTTTTCCTGAGAGCAAGGGAGCTGTACATGTTAGGAGATTAATAAATAAGTTCCCACAAATACTATCTCACGCTTCTGCTTGTGGAGCCTCTAGCAAGGGCTGCTCCCTGCTCAGCTTTGTTCAGGAGCTCGTGACTGGAGAAAAGGATCTGGGGTTTTGAATTGTACTTCATTTCCTTCAAGGCTTTCTCTGTCCACTAGGAAGGTGTCTCTTTGCTGCTTAAATTGGCCAGGGACATGAAGTCTTCTGAGCTAGCCTCGTCCCTACTGGAAGTAAAATTTACTGTAATTGTAGAGGAGTTTCTCTTTGACGGGTCTGTTTCTGTAGTTTGGTGAGATGTCAAATCCTGCTGTGCGTCATGATCCTACTGGGTAATCACTTCTTGGCAGGTGTCTTTCCCCCTTAATGTAGTGCCAAACCTGGCATGTCCAGTATCTTCAGCATCGCAGGCTTTGACATCAGACTGTCACTGGTTTGTAGAAGAGAGGAGGTGTGGAGGAAAGCACGTCTCTTGTTCTCTGGCTGCCTGACACAAGCAGCCAACTTCCACCTAGTGAGTCCTCACCAAAATGGAAACCCTGGTTCGGTCCTAATACCCCAAAGCCAACCCCCAAACCCCAGATGCTTTTAGTGGTATGTGTTCTGGAAACTGTGTGTGCCTGGGTGCGGATGGGGCAGAGGAAGCAGGTGAGTGGTGGCAATGGTAGCTGGGAGAGCTTTGCAGTGGCACTGGCTGGTTTTGGAAGGGCCTGACCTGACTGAATGGTGGGATGAGAGGATTAGCTTTTGGCTTGGGCTTTCCTTTTGCAGAGTGGTTTTCCTGGAACAGCCTCTCTTTGCTTGGCCTCATCCCTCTCTTTCCTTCCGTCCCAGGTGCCGGTCCCCCAAGCCAATTTCATGGAAGACATAGAAAAGTGGCTCTCCACTGACGTGGTAAGTGAGGGGCTGCTTTCCTGGAGCCGGCCGTCCTGCCAGAGTTGCCTGCAGGCTGGATTTTAGGCAGTGTACAACAGCGCTGACGCTGCCGAATGTGTGGCACAGGCTGCTCGGAGGGAGCAGGGAAGGAAAGGCCAAGGACACAGGGTGTGGGATACCATACCAGTATAATTAGCCTTCTGGGGGGCATAGATAACGAACTGAGGCTCAGGGCCACTCTAACACGTCTGTACTGCAGGAGTAGGGGGAGCACTGCCCTGTCTTCCTCCATGCAGACAAAAATCATGGCTGTGGAGGTGCCTTGCTTCTAACCATGCCCTTCTCCTTCCTTAGGGAGAGTCAGAGGATGCAAAAGGTGTCACCAGCGAAGGTAAGACTTGCCAGCCAACCCCTTTCTCCAGCTCTTCCTGGCAGCACCTTGGCTCTTCCACAATCCTCCCTCCTTGCTAATGCTGTGCTCTTCTCTTGCCCCAGAGTTTGACAAGTTTCTGGAAGAGCGAGCAAAAGTTGCAGACCGGCTACCCACTTTGTCCAGCTCTTCAGCAGCATCCGTCTCCCCTCCTGCTGCCAGCCATCATCGGAAGCAAGCAAAGGAAGATGACGCTATGTTTGCCTTGTGAATGCTATGGACTGGTGTGCTGTGGAGCAAGAGGCTGTGTGTGCTGTTTTTGCTTGCCTCTGACCAGGGGCCAGCAGAGGAAGGACTCTGTCCCCTTCCTCCACTCTCTTCCCATTTTCCCTTTGAGTTGTTTTTATTTTTAAGCTGCTTTCAGATTTCAGATAATCTTTGTTGTGTTTAGGGATGTCACACAATAGGCTTGTGAAGGGGCTTTTCAAAGCTGCTAGAGAACGTGGGAGTTCAGTGGGCTTTTTTTTTTTGTGGTACAGTGTGGGCAAAGTAGAAGAAGCTCCCCATCCTCCTCTCCAGTGAGGCAGTCCGAGATCTTGCCCAAGAAAGAGGAGAGGCTGCAGTCTGCTGCTGAAATCATTCCTGCCAGCCTCTTTCCTTGCCCCATCCCTAGAATGGATCTCCAGCCCTCTCCCTGCCACTGTTAGACTGGAAAGCATGGGGACGCAAAGCATTACAGGTGGCAGAGCAGGAACGCTACTCGTAGAGGTGCCCTGTTGCTCTAGTCTCTCTTGCACAAGTGTTTGTGGTATTTAACACCTTCCCACTCACAACCTCTTCCCTTCCTCTTCCTTTCCTCCCCCTCCCCATCAGTTTATCCGGAATCCTACCCGCAGCCCAAAGGTTTCCGTTGCATGACAGCCACTTACCAAAGCCCTTTGCTGCACACAGGGCTCGAGCTGCGAGCGGTACCCCAGGCTGGAGGGGCTGTCTGCTAAGGGGTAGGATGTGCCTTCAGCAAACTCTTTGCAGTTAATTTAATTCTCCCATTATTATACTCTTCTCCCCTCTTTCCTTGATGCAATCCCACCTCCCTCTCTCGCTTCCACTGATGCTTTCCACCCCTTCGTGCCGTGGTGCGGGCAGTCTCTCCGAGCCTCTGATCAGGCCAACACTACAGACTCCCTCAGGGTAGCTGTGTGCTGGGGGCCGAGAGCCCTCTGCGTTCCCCAAAGCAGGGGGCCCTTACGTGGACACTGTTACACCACTGAGACCATGCTGTTGCTGGGGGAGCTTGTTCAGCTGGTAAGCACAGAGGTGAAGCAAGACACCAGTCACCTCACGCCAGCGAAGCAGCCCTGCAGCAGCAGGGAGCTCCTTTGCACATGGGGAGAAAACCCCTTCTGAGCAAACCGCACACGCTGCCGAATTGTGAAAGGCAGCCAGGGAGGAGGGTGCCAAGCCCGCTCGTGGGATTTCTTGTTGAGCGTGGGAGAGTTGCCTTTTTTTATTGCACATTAAAGGAGCAAAGTCTTGAGCCTCCCTTGAAGATACTCGTGCGCTGTCAGTGCTGTCGTGGGGAGGGGAGGACCCTGTGCTGGAGAGGAGGGGTGCAGCCCTGCCGCCACGTTTGCTCTCCAAGAAAAGGCAAAGGCACAGTGGTGCCGAGATGGGGCACGGCAGGGGGGCTGAGGGTGCTTCGAGCCAAGGCAGGTGCTCGCTGCTTTTTAGCACAGTCTCCTGGGGAGGTGACTACAGCCCGTCTCAAAATAGCGAGACGGCGAGCTACCTCCTCTCCTTCACCTCTCTGCCTTGTGACCAGATCCGAATTCCCGCCTCGCAGCCCATAGATCACTTAAAGACACGCAAGAAATACGCTTGCTACGAAAGGGCTCTCTGGCATCCACAAGGCATCCTCAGCTGTCCCCATGCCATCCCCTGCTGTCCAGCTGAGTGGGAGCTGGGGGAAGGATTCTTAAAAGGCGGTTGAACAGGCTGAAAGTGTCCTCTGAGCCCCAGACTTGTAGGAAGGAACTAGCTGAAGTTGTCCAAAACTCAGGACCTCCCTCCTCCTATGCCTGCACCGCAGTCTCAGCTGTACCAAGCCCCTGCAGAGGCTTGAGGACAAGAGCTGTGAGCAAAGCTGGTCTGCAGCTGGGGCTAGCAGGGCTGGAAAAAGCAGGGTGCTGGGTTTCCTCCTCTGTAAGCTCTTGTGGGACAGGAGGAGGCTTGGTGTCTTCTGAGCTTTCCAAGACGGACAGCACATGCTATCCTTGGAGAGTTTGTCCCTTGGAAAAATAAATCGCCATTTCCAGTTCCATTGCGTTCCCAATGCCTCTGGGAGGAACCGGGAGAGACACGCCCCCCCCCCTTTCTGACCCAAATGCTATTGTATATTTAATATAACCCTCTGGAGATGGCAGGGAGGGGAAAGCTCAGCCGAATGACCCTAAAAGCTGCCTGTCCTGCCCCATCTTGCTGACGAGTCCACGAGTGGCTCTGCTGGAGGTTGCCTGAAGCTAAACAGTCACGGCTTCATCTCGGAGCTACTCCTCCTCCCGCAGCCCATTTGCAGCAGGACTTCACTGTGCCGCAGGACCCCACGCTCCTCACCTAAGAAGAGCTTGGATCGAACGAAGAGTGCAAAGCACTTTCTCGCTGGAGAGCGCAGCCAGAGAGCCACAGGTTTCTGCCCTACCGACTGCGTGAGGGTTTCGTGCGGCAAACACGGGTAAACGCTGGGGAGTGGCACAGCCTCAGACCTCTAGCACAAGCCCGTTTTTACCACACTCACAGCTTCCTGAAATAGCTGCCTTTTTTTTTCTTTTTAACTTTCCAAAGTGTCCTTGTCCCAGCGGATGCTAGAAGAGAAACCTGGGTGGAGAGGCTGGATTTGTCCACACGCCGCTGGCTCGGGCCTCTGCTGTCACCCCTGCAGCAAGCCCAGAGCTGAGCTCCACTCGCTGCAGAGCAGCCTTTCCCCACCCCAGCCAGAGCTGTCAGAGCTCACACCAAAGGCTCTGCGCGGGGAGTGTGGCCCACAGGAGGACACTCGAAGTCAAGGGACCATGAGGGACACGCCAGCGCAGCATCCCCCCAGTGCTGCAGACCTGCAAGGGCAGGTCCCTCCTGCGAGACAGGACTCTGAGCCGAGACACGAGGGTCTGAGAGCCCCTACAGCTTCCCTCCTGCAAGTCTCAACAGAAGAACAGAACAAGGAGGAAAGGCAAAAGGGCCAAATGCTGAGGTTCCCCTCTTGGAGCACCTGCAGGAGAAGAAGCAAGAGCAGAGGCACGATGGAGCCCAGGCTGGTGGTTTTTGCAACTGTGGGACCAGAAGGGCCTTGGGAGCAAGGGGCCGATGCCCAAACCCTCTTGCCAGTGGCTGGACTCGGGTGGCCTAGCTCTGCCAGGAAGGGAGGGCTTCTGGTGCCCAGTCAGCGTTTGTGAAGGACACCAGACTTTTCACACTGGCGATGTTTTGAACACCAGTTTGTGCCTCAGTGAGCACTTAAAGCTCTCAGTGTCTCCAGCTCCCTCCGCATTGCCTGTGGCTTCTCCTGAAAGAGAAACGAAGCCATCCCCGAATGTATACCATGACCATGGGGAGCTCAAGCTCCTCCTTGCTGACCCTGGGATGCCCTGAGCCCACCTCGGGGTAAGGACCCCTTCTCCACCCTCACCTTGTTCTCATCCTACCCAGACAGCCGGCACAGGAGCTGGCAAAGCCAAAAGGGGACCGTCCCTGAGGAAGACTTGAGCACAGGGGAATTGGCTCACCACTATTTTTGTCAGGGGACTAACAGGTGGGAAGGGTTTTTGGTGGCTGCCACGTGGGGTCAGTTTGAAGCGATGTCCAACAGGTGAAAATTTGGAGTGCTGCTCGTGGCCCTCCGGGCGAGCCTGTGCCCTCCCCACCATGCAGCCATCCGTGGTCACGCTGCTCTTCACCGCGGGCCGCCCAGCGCAGAGATTTATCCTACAGGGACGACGTATCTTTTTTTCAAGCAACTGAAATTATGAAGAATGGGGCTGGGAAAGATTCCATGCCCAAATTAGTACTGTTGTACTTCTTATACATTATACCAGTAATAGCTTGAATAATTTTGCAAGCTTTCTTTTCAGAAGGAACTTGGAAAAAAAAAAAACCTGCGAGGTCTGCAAGAGATCATTTAAAGTTGCGATCAGGTGTCTTGCCGTGGCAAAAAACTGCTTTACGATTACAAAAAAATAAAATGCCACCACTATAAGAATTCCTTCAAATGCCTTTCCCTTTTTAAAAGTGTTTTCTAATGTTGCCATTTTAAAAAGGAGTAACGCTCGCTGCCTGCTGGCTCTGACCACCAGATGGCTGCGGTCCCTCCTCGCTCGCCCAGCCTCGGCTCCACCGACTGCAGAGGACAACCTCTCGCTTCACAGCCGCCTGCTTGGCACTGGCTGCTAGAACACTGGAAACAAAACAGAGCAAACTTTTTCCTTATTCTAAGTATTCCGCTGCAGCCGTCAGCCTGGCGCGGGCTCGACACGGTGACCCCTCCAGAGCGTGCGCTCAGGCGTTGCGGCTGCACAGGGGCCGGGAAGCAGCGCTTGCGCTGTGTCTGAGCACCCGCTGACAACCACACTGGGAACAGGATCCTGACCCGGACGGATATTTTGCACGACCCAGAATGGTTGTCGCTATGTAAGCTGAAGAAAGGCGTAACTTCCTTGCGCTGGGTCAGAGCTGCCCTGCATCTCTAAAAATCGAGTGCTAAAAGTTCATGAGAATTTACACGATGTTTGGGTTGTGTGGTGCTTGGCACACCAGCATCGCATTCCTAGAGGCAATAAAATACATGCTTCTCTTTTACCCACTACTAACCTCCAGACAGTATACGATTTT